ATGATCTCTTCATGACTTTTTGTTTCACACTATGTGATAAATTCATTAAGGGTAGCATTGTGCCATCCTCCATCAAGCGATTATATACTTCCTTTGTGCTTATTATGTTGACTATAGCAATGTTAAACTGTTAAAACTTGCTAATAAACAGTGAAGCTCCATCATTCCAATAGAGTCAGCATGCTAATTCACTGTAGTTCAAATCCACATTCTAGTTGAATCCCCACGATGTAACTTGACATTTGGAGAAATTGATTCATACCATTTTAAAGAAATATGATATAGGCGACAGAATCCAGGATGAAAGAGGTACCTTGTTACTTAGGTGATGACGTTGTGGATGCATTTCACATCTCTCTTTCTCTCTTTTTAATGTAGCTCTTCTCCTTCCTTGGTTTTTACTCCTCCGTCCCTCTTTCTTCTTCAAGGCTCCTCTAATGTTAACATCTTTGGCAGTTTGGCCAATGTTGACAAGTACTTTTTGATTATTTGGTATTTTAAAATACTTGGTATTTTAAAAAACTTTTATTGGCCGGGCGCAGTGGCTCACGTTGTAATCCCAGCACTTTGGAAGGCCTCGGTGGGCAGGTCACGAGGTCAGGAGATCGAGACCATCCTGGCTAACACGGTGAAACCCTGTCTCTACTAAAAATACAAAAAATTAGTCGGGCGTGGTGGCAGGCACCTGTATTCCCAACTACTCGGGAGGCTGAAGCAGGAGAATGGTGTGACCCTGGAAGGTAGAGCTGGCAGTGAGCCAAGAACTCACCACTGCACTCTAGCCTGGGTGACAGAGTAAGACTCCGTCTCAAAAAAAACAAAACAAAACAAAACAACTTTTATTGTAAAATTATTTATTGTAAACAAAATCCCATGTAAAGCAAATGAATAAATGTGACGGTTAATGGAATATATGTGGAAATAAGCTTCTCTTTTAAGTGAAAGAACTGATATCAAAAATTCCATCTAAAATTTATTAAAATTAAAATTTCTTTTATAAGATTATTCAGTGTATTCTTTCTGGGCAGATTTGTATTTAGTTGTCTGGGGATTGTTTTGTTTTAGTGTCAGAAATATATTCTTACTAAGTATCAGACCCTTTATTAGGCAGTCATCATTTTAGGTCTTATGATGATGGGAAATCCCATGGGCTTAGGGAAAATTGGCTAAGTGTGGAAAAATTGCATAATAGAAAAAAATTCCATTTACAAAGATGTGTGATTGTTTCTTTTCTTCTCTCTATGTCTAGATGGTTAGAGATGATTGTATTCTTGGACTGTTTTATTTTCAAAATTGAAAGTTTTTTTTTTAAATGGACGTCAGGCTGGGCACAGTGGCTCATGCCTGTAATCCCAGCACTTCAGGAGGCTGAGACGGGTAGATCACCTGAGGTCAGGAGTTTGAGACCAGCTTGACCAGCATGGTGAAACTCGGTGTCTACTAAAAATCCAAAATTAGACGGGCATGGTGTGGTGTGGTGCATGCCTATAATCCCAGCTACTTGGGAGGCTGAGGCAGGAGGATCACTTGAACCCGGGAGGCAGAGGTTGCGGTGAGCTGAGATCACGCCATTGCACTCCATCCTGGGCAACAAGAGCAAAAATCTGCTTCGAAAAAAAAAAGTGGATATCAAAGGATGCAGAGTGGGATGGGGAATAAAGAAAGCACATACTACATAGCAAAACATTGTAAACAAAAATAAGTCACAGTATCATATAAAAAAGAAAATGTATTTGCTATGATAACAAATTTAAATGACATTAGATACCAGAATTAGTTTTTGGTTCTTTTTTTTTTTTCCTTTTAAGCTCCAACAGAATAAGTTTGTCAGTTCTTTTCATACCTTGCTGTAGATTGCAACCTCTATAAATATGTTAAATAGTAGATTTCTAAGATGATTATTTACATATATATGGAGTGTGTGTGAGTGTATAAGTATAAAGTAAATATATATATTCTGGAATGTGTATGTATATATGCATATATATATATTCAAATATTTTTAACAATATGAGCTTGAGTTTCTTTCAAGACTAAAGGCAAAATGTATTTTTTCATTGCCTTATTTTGTGCAAAAAGCCAAATAAAATTGTGGTGATCCATTTACAGAAGCCAGCAAATAGAAGTATATACACATTTTATAATCAATCAGTGAGTATTTATATAGATACTAGTGATTATTAGAGCTTCTAGGCTATAAAAAATGTTACTATGTTTCTTTGAAAGTTCAGGGTCTACATAGCCAGTGGATCAGATACCCAGAATGGGTAATCACTGGCATGGTGTTTCAGACTTTAGATCTAACAAGTAAAAATTTAAAAAAAAAAATTGGATATGATTAAAGGACAAAGAATCAAGGGAATGGAGCGCAGCCAATTCAGAAAATAAAGAACAGTTGGTTTACCCTAATTATAGTCATCTTGATTTTCTTTTTTCTTTTGTATGTATCAATTGGAAGTTTGGTAAAATTAAATCTTTAGCCCAATTATAGAAATAAATTCATTGCAGATTTCCTAAGGTGATTTTATACTTTTCTTAAACTCAAATCTTAGAAGTTGGGAAGTTGGTTGTAGTTTGTATTAGCCACAAGTCTTTCCTTTGATATAGTAAAACAGTTTACTTTTTATTTTTTAAAACTGAATATCTTATATCTACCATCATCTAAATTGATGACATGTTAACATAAATGACAAAATCATATTGATATCAAAGATTCAACTAATTAACAAAAGTTTTACACTTGGATTAGGTTGAGTTGTGCAGAAGTGGCTGAATCTAATAAAATGATATAACATTTGTGTATATTATAATGAATTTTGCAGATGGTTTATGGGCACAGGTCAAGCATTAAAATAAAGCCTATGTAATGACCCCCCCCCCCCTGCTTTTCATCAAAAAGCTTTTCATAGATAATATAAGTTATGGAAATAGGTGAATTTTTTTTTTTTTTTTTTTTTTTTTTTTTAGTTTTTTAGGGAAGATGAATTTATTGACTTTATAGAATATCTTACTGCATTCTTCTTATTACTACTTTTCCCACTTTTGATCATGAGTATCTTTATTCTATATTCATCTTATACAGGAAGTGATGTGTCTCCTTTGTAAATGTTTTAGAAAGAGTGTCACCCAATGGTTTTATTGTCAGGTACATATTACATGATCTCCTTGGTAACAAACATGAGTTTTTGTTATTATTTGACAGTTATTAAACACAGATACATTAGTAAATATGGAGCAAAGAAACACAACTTTCAATGACAAAGTTCTGTTGATACATTATATGGTTTTATATGTTGTAAATTTGATGACTTTCTCTATATTAATTTTCTGCTATATTTTTATTGAGTACTAATACACTTGCCTCCATTCACCTCCCAACACACACACACACACACACTCTCTCTCTCTCTCTCTCTTTCTCTCTCTCTCTCTCCCCCCCCCCTCACATATATACAGGCGCACATACACATGCATAATAGCTGAAGCTTCAAAATGAAAACATATGCAGAATGTACCTATTGATTTCTGGTCATTCTGAGTAAAAGGGGATATAAAGAAACATGGTTTGTTTAAAACTGGGAAGTTACTTAGTATTTTGTGTTTCAATTGCTTCTTACCTATCTAGCACTAGTAGTTTAATGCCAGGTAACGTAATATTGAAAATTTAAGAAATGTTAGCAAGGATTACAGGTGATTGATAGTACTATTTTGTAGTATGAAGCCTGATTTAAATCTTGCCAGAATCTCCGGAACTTAATATGGAAATTAGAATAGAGGTGACACCTGTATCTCCGTTCTAAACCATTTTGTCATACTACTACAGTTTTTTCCTTCTAAAACAGACTTCATCAAGTCTTCAGAATTCTGGATCTGTTAATCCATTTGACTCTCGATTTATTTCTTTTCTCTTTAATTTTTTGTTTTTGAGACATTGTCTCACTCTATTACCCATGCTGGAGTGGAGGGATGTGATCATGTCTCACTGCAACCTCTGCCTCCCAGCTCAAGAGATCACGTCAGCCTACCTGATAACTGGGGCTATAGGCATGTGCTCCCACACCCTGCCAATTTTTTGTAGAGATGAGGTCTGCCATGTTGCCCAGGCTGGTCTCAAACTCTGGGCTCTAGCCATTTGGCCGCCTCAGCCTCCCAAAGTGGTAGGATTACAGGGGTGAGCCACCACGCCTGGCCTGACTCTCCATTTCTTATAGTAGTACCTCTTAATGAGGAAAACACATTAGAATTGCCCAGGGGGCTTCTAAAATATGCACATATCTAGAACCCATCCTCAGAAAATCTGGTATTTCGGTAGGAGTGGCAAGTATGTTTAACAAAAACTGTGCATTGATTCAGATGCCTCTTTATGTCATATCCCAACCAAAGTTTCTTACTCTGTCTCATGTTATTTTCTCCAGTTACCCTCTGCTCTGCTTTAATCATGCCAAAAATGATGTAATACAAATACATTTTCATTTTATACTTATGTATTAAACTTTGGTACATGCTGTTTCTACCGCCTGAAATACCTTTTACTTCCCTCTCCATCCTCCCTTTCTCTCCACTCCAGGTCTTTTATCTGTCAAACAATGAGTTTTCTTCCTAGATTCTCCTCTGATAGCAAATCTTTCCTTACTCCCCCAGGTAGAAATAGTCACTCTCTCTTTTATGTTTATCATTTATATTTGATTATTACTTTTTAAGTGTCAATCTCTTCCATTAATCTGTGAGCTCAGTGAAATTATGTAATTTATCTTATTTGTGTTTATGTTAAATGAATACATGGATGACTAATAAATTGACAGCTTTGTTAGGAATTAAAATTTTCAATGTTTTCATAAACATTGTTTTTAAGGGCAGCATTCAGTTGAGGTTTTCATGATCAGCCATCAGGACGTACGTTGATACATGCATAACATTTGTCTTAATATATATTCCCATAAAAATTTGTATGCATATAGGTATTTATTTCTTATCTTCATTTTTTTCCCTTGTGCCTACAGACGAAATCTCACAAAACTGTCCCTTATCTTCAGTCACATGCTGGCAGAAATCAAAGCAATCTTTCCCAATGGTCAATTCCAGGGAGATAACTTTCGTATCACAAAAGCAGATGCTGCTGAATTCTGGAGAAAGTTTTTTGGAGACAAGTAAGTAAAAATCATTTTTATAGCTGCGGATCTATCTTGCAAGGGTTACTGTATCCTCCCTCCAGTTGGATATGGTATATATTTTACTTGAGTGTTTTGTGAATGTATTTTATTATTTTTGATAAGCATTTTGATTGATTGGTAATTTTTGTAGCCACCAAAGGTATACCTCAATAATACAGTAGTTTTTTAATGACTAAGTAAATATACAATGTTATTTATTACATGAGCATTCATTGAGTTTGTTCTGAGAAGCAGAAGTATGTAAGAGTCTTTATACATGAGAAGCTGATAACTTCTTATAATTTACTATATGCTTAATACACAAAATAAAAGGTAGAAGGGAATAGATACTTTAAAAAATGGTGTAAGTAAATTGCTCTGACAATTTAGAGGGGAATAGTTGCTTTGGGATCAGTGATCAGGGACTGCTTCCTGGAGGAGGTGGTATGTTAAGCTTGGTTAAGATCTGAAATCGAGGTGAGAGAAGGCCCTGGCACCCTGATCCAGCCTTTCTTTGTTTTACTGCATAGAGTTTATATATATGTGAATAAGATATGAGGATAACATTATCACAAAGATGTAGCCTGTTGCAAAGTAGCTAAAGATGTTTTCTGTTAGGTATGCCCTACAGAGACAGATTCTGGTGAGTTTGGTAAATAATGGAATTGAATGTCTAAAGTCAGCATAATTTATATACAAGTTGCAAAACTCTTGTCATCAATTTCTCAGTAAAATGATCAAGAATGAGCATCAGGAGGCAAGTGGTTTCCCCAGTAACTTTTTAAGAATTACCTTTAATGAGAGCACATCCTCAGAATGTCTTAGAATGTAGGCAAAGCCCTGGCTGAGTAGTAAGGAGGAAGTGTGATTGCTTACATAGATTATTGTTTTAATCTTGTATCAAAGGTCTGTATTTGTCCTTTAACTGATGAAATTAGACATCAAAATTGTTAATAAACACTTTTTTTATAGTACTTTGATATGGGAACTACAACATTGGTTTTCCTTTGTTTTTGTTTTGTTTTGTTTTGTTTTTTTCTTACAAAGTATTGTGTTTACTATAGTCGTCATCAAGATTGGAATATACCTACATAGAATAATGTACATTTAATTAAGCACATACTTTTTTTGGCAGCCAAAATATTGAAGCCTATTTCCCACATTATACTAAAATGTATTCAGAGTTACTTTTAGGCACTAAAGGATAAAATACCATTGTTGCCATTAACATGGAAATTCTGTGTTGTAGCAATCTAGTTATTTATAATGTTCCTATATTCATTCAGAAATGAAGAATTTTAGAAAAAAGTTTATCCTTATCTGAATTAGAATAATACAGACAGCTAAGACTATACTAATTAAATATTAATTGTAGAAAGTAGAACAGTCCTGCCAGGTTCGGGATGTAGGAACTGAGAGGGTTTCCTGTAGTTGCAGTTCATGTATTAACATTGTAAGCTTAGTTCAAACAGTCGGTAACCTTCAAAATAAACTTTCTCTTTTAAAGTTTTAAGAAAATATATAGGACAAATTGATGTGGTATTTCTTTTTGAAAACTGAAACTTCTGGTGAGTTATAAAATTGTTTACTTGTCATAAGGTCAATAAAAAATGGAAAGATTGCTCATGGGTTTTATTAAGAGAGGAGTTTACTTTGCTGGCACTTCAAGCCATAGAAAATTATGCATTTGAGACAACTTTATTTCCCTTTATTTATAACCACAGACATCAAGGGGCTGAAATTTCTCTTCAGCTGCTACATGAGTGAAATCACTACTACATCAAATGAGGGATTCTTGAAATAGTGATTAGTTACTTTCCCTACCTCCCAAGTCTTTTCATCTTTGTCCACTGTTTTTACTGAATTGAGAAAGCTGCTTAATTTTTTTTAACTCTTTTAATTTGTGGATAACTGCCAAATTTCGTGCTCCTTTTGGAACATATGTGCATTACCATAGTCATCCAAATTAGCGATTCCTTTATTAGATAATTGGAGAAAGTATTTTTTTATTCTTCCTAGGTTTTTACCTTGTGGTTCCATAATATTTTATTGAATGAATGGACATATGCATGAATAATGTGCATCCTTTCAAAAGGATGATTTTTTTTTTCATTATGTTCTAGTATTGTTTATATTTTCCCAAAACTTAGTTCTCCTATGGGAGCATGCCTGTCATTTATCTCACTGTTCATTGAGGCCATGTGAGATTCATCGAGGCCATGTGAGAATGCTTTCATTTAGCCTAACCAGTGCCTTTAAACTTGAAAACAGCATTCTCTCGTAAAACAGAACCATTAATCCATTCATGAGGGCAGCGCCATCTCTTAAAGGTTCTACTTCTTAATTCAGTCACAGTGGCAATTAAATTTTAACATGAGTTTTGGAAGGGGCATTCAAACTATAGCACTGTTGTTTTTGAAGACATGGTTGTGCTACCTTCTCTGTTTAGGGCCCAAGCCCAGCAGCCAAGAGGCACTGCCTGCCTTGTGGCCCAAGGGGAACAGTAACACAACATGTATCATGGCAAATTTGTTGGGAAATTCTGTTTATGGTCAATTTTTATGCAAATGAATATAATATTTTAACAACACAGTTATGCTTTTCCTTTCGTAGTCTGTTGACCAAGAGATAGAAATCTGTAGGAAAAGAAAAGTGACATTATTGAATAAATGTGTCTGTCTATGTTCAGCAAAATGAGACCAATACTAAACTGAATCTTCACACTCTGGAATAATAGCTTATAATCTAGAAACTTTAAGCATGAAGCTTGAAAAATATATTACTGCCTGTTAAAAAAAGAAGCACATTAATGTGATTAGACTCTGGGTAGCAGTCATTTTTCTCAGCAAGTCAGGTAGCAGCTCATGAGCTACTTATTTAAGTACTTTTTGACATTGAGAAAAGTGATTGATTAAAGTGATGATTTATAAGATTTTAGTGCACGGGTCACCTGAGCAGTGCACGCTACCTAATATGTAGTCTTTTATCCCTTACCCCTCTCTCACCCTTCCCCACCACGACCTCAAAGTCCATGATATCATTCTTATGCCTTTGTGTGCTTATAACTTAGCTCCTACTTGTAAGTGAGAACATTCGATATTTGGTTTTCCATTTCTGAGTTACTTCACTTAGAATAATGGTTTCTAGCTCCATCCAAGTTGCTGCAAAAGTCATTATTTCATTCCTTTTTATGACTGAGTAATAGCGTATGGTGTAAATATAGCATATTTTCTTTATCCACCTGTTGGTCTGTGTGAACTCAGGTTGGTTCCATATCATTGCAATTGCAAATTGTGCTGCTATAAACAAGCATGTGCATGTGTCTTTTTCATAAATGACTTCTTTTCCTTTGACCAGATATCTGGCAGTGGATTGCTGGATTGAATGGCAGTTCTGCTTTTAGTTCTTTAAAGAGTCTCCATACTGTTTTCCATAGTGGTTGTTACTAATTTACACTCCCACCAGCAATGTAAAAGTGTTCCCTTTTCACAACATCCACGTCAACATCCGTTGTTTTTAAAGATGTTTAACAACATGTATTGTTTTTAATTATGGTCATTCTTGCAGGAGTAAGGTGGTTTCTCACTGTGGTTTTCATTTGCATTTTCCCGATGATTAGTGATATGTTGAGCATTTTTTCATATGTTTGTTGGCTGTTTGCATATGTCTTTTGAGAATTGTGTGCTCATGTCCTTTGCCCACTTTTTGATGGGATTGTTTTCTTCTTGCTGATTTGCTTGAGGTCCTTGTAGATTCTAGATTCTAGTCCATTGTCAGATGCATAGTTTGCAAGTATGTTCTGCCACTGTGTGAGTTGTCTGTTTACTCTCCTGATTATTTCTTTTGCTGTGCAAAAGCTTTTTAGTTTAATTAGATCTCATTTATGTATTTGTATTTTTATGCATTTGCCATGAATTCTCTGCCTAAGCTAATGTCCAGAAGAGTTTCTTTGATGTTATTTTGTAGGATTTTCATGGTTTCAGGTCTTAGATGTAAGTCTTTGATCCATCTTGAGTTGATTTTTTAATAAGGTGAGAGATGGGGATCCAGTTTCATTCTTCTACATGTGGCTTGCCAGTTTTTCCAGCACAATTTATTGAATAGGGTATCCTTTTCCAAATTTATGGTTTTGTATGCTTTGTCGAAGATCAGTTAGCTGTAAGTATTTGGCTTTACTTCTGGGTTCTCTATTCTGTTCTATTGGTCTATGTGCCTCTCATTATACCAGTACCATGCTGCTTTGGTAACTATAGCCTTGTGTTGTAATTTGAGATCAGATAGTGTGATGCCGCCAGATTTGTTCTTTGCTTAGTATTGCTTTGGTGATATGGTCTCTTTTTGGTTCCATACGAACCTTAAGATTGTTTTTTCTAGTTCTGTGAAGAATGTTGATGGTATTTTGATGGGAATTATAGTGAGTCTGTAGATTGCTTTGAGCAGTGTGGTCATTTTATTCTTCCCATCCATGAGCAGGGGATGTGTTTACATTGGTTGTATCATCTATAATTTCTGTGTTTCAGTGTTTTGTAGTTTTCCTTTGAGAGATCTTTCACCTCCTTCTTTAAATATATTCCTAAGTATTTTATTTTATTTTTTCAGCTATTGTAAAGAGGATTGAGTTCTTGGTTTCTCAGCTTGGTTATGTTGGTGTATAGAGTGCTACTGATTTGTGTACATTGATTTTGTGTCCTGAGACTTTACTGAATTCATTTATAAGATCTGGGAGCTTTTTGGATGAATCTTTAGGCTTTTCTAGGTATATGAACACATAATCAGTGAACAATGACAGTTTGACTTCTTCTTTTACAATTTGTATGCTGCTGCTTTCTTTTTTTTTTAATCAGATTGCTCTGGCTATGACTTCCGGTACTGTGTTGAGTAGAAGTGGTGAAGGTGGGGATCTTTGTCTGGTTCCAATTCTCAGGGGGAATGCTTTCAACTTTTTGCCTTTCAGTGTGATGTTAGCTATAGGTTTGCCATATATGGCTTTTATTACT